TTGCTACGCCTTGGCCATAAATTGATGTGCTATGAGACCACCAAGTTTTATAGGGGTGGGATTGCCAGTATTTTGCTACTTCTGTATTGCCGTCTGTCTCAGTTGTGATGACTATATCCCATAGGTTGTTGTGACAGTATTGGAACCATAGTCGACATTTTGTTTCATTGGATAGTCCTTGTATATTTCTGGTGCAGATGTGCCAGGTGTTATTAGTAGGAAGATTAGTTGTTAAGTATTGTGTGTTATATGTGTTTGGGGAATTGATGATGTTGACAATGGTTGTGTTCACAGATGAATTTGAAGTAATGTGTTGTAAATCGCTTGTGGGTGTATTGTTAAAAGTGTTTATCAAGTTAGATTCTAAAATTGTAGTTGTTGGAGGGGAGAAGTCGGTTGTTTGTGTTTTGTAGGATAGATTTGAGGATGAAATATGTGTATTATCGAATGGGGAAGATGTAGGATCTTGTTTCTTGAATGTATGTGGAATACTTCGTTCTAATATTTGATCTGTACTCATTGATTATTGGTTTTTGGGAGTTGTGTTGTTGAAATCTGTTTGTGTGATTTGAGAATAGATGAGTTGTTCCATTGATGCTACAACTTGCTGCATGGAGCTGTCGAGTGTGTTTATTTGATTTGTGAGTCGAGCCTGTTCGGCCCTGATGTCCATGGCTGGGCTGGTGGCCCTTCTCTTTCTTGAGGTGCTGGAGGTGATACTAATGTTGTCGTCTATTTCTTTATTGTTGTCATCTGCATCAATGAAGTTGTCTGTGTCTTCTGTTGAAGTGTAGAGCTCTTGGATATCAGTTTCCATGTCATCGATGCGTTGATTTAGATTGGAGAGGTCTTGCTTAATATTGTTGATTTCGGAGTGCATGTGCTTTAGAATGTTGTAGATGTCCCTGAGTGTGGGATTTTCAATTGTTGGCATTTGTTGTTGTTGATTGTCAGATGTGTTTGATGTGGTTTCTCTTCTTTTTCCTTTGAAGGCATCCACAAAGGATGTTGTGCTTGATGTTTTCTTTGTTTGTCTAGGCCTATTGTTTGTTCCTGCTGATTTATATCTAGCATAAAGGTGGCCAAATCTTTTGTTGGTTTGTTGTTTCTGTTGAGTGCATTCTTGTTGTCTGGCTTTAATGGGGCATTCTTTGGCAAGATGTTCTGTATTGGAGCAGATGTTGTAGATTTTGGCTGTGGTGTCCACCCATGTTAGTTCAGTGGTGCTAACTATGGCATTAATATTTTTTGCGCGTGTAAGGAGTTCTTCATTTTTGAAGCTAAGAATAGCGAATCTTTTTCTAGTGTATCCCTGTGTAGTTCTAGGGATGTAGCATGTTTGTGCTTTGGTTTCGTTGATTATTTCTTTTAGGTCATGGCCAGTTGTACCTGGGGGAAGGTTGGTGAGTTTAAGCGTGAATTTGCTTCTTTCTTCTTTGATTTGTTTGGTGTTTAGAAAGGGGAATATTCTAATCAAGTCGCCTCTGAATGGGATTGCCCATCTGTTACTGATTTTGTCAAAATCTTGTTGGTTGTGAAATTCTATATTGGCTGATTGCCACATGCCAATGGTTTGCATTTTGATGGATTTTATATCACCATATTTAGAAAGAGCAGCGCGGACATCTGCCTGAGATACGTTTAAGGGAATGTCCCATGCTCTGATTGTTTTGTGTTTAGCTTCAATACCATTGTAAACCGGTGCAGGCTGCATGTGTATGATGGTATTGTCATCGATTTTGATGTTTTTGGCCTTTTCAGCATCCCTTTCTGCTCCAAATAGGGCTACGATGTTGTTGATATCTTGTGACTTGTTGAGTCTGATGGATGTGAATGATTCTAGGCGGGACAGAAATTTTTTGATGAGATTAAGTCTGCTGTTATCGTCCTGGCCTGGGACTTCATTGGAGGGAATAAACATTTTGAACCGTTTTCTGCCGTATTCAGTAGACCAATCAGTGGGTCCTTGGGTGTTGTGTTGAGTGGAAGTTGGTGTGTCGTCAGTGTTTTGTGAAGGTTTTTGTAGTGTTTGTTGGTCGATTTTGGAGTTCGATTGGACTTCCTCAAACCAGTCGTCAATAAAGTCTTCTTCGTCATTGAAACCTCGTGGGGTGGAAGGTGTGCTGTTATCCTCTTCGTTTGTCAAGTTGGTCACTATTCTGAGTGTGTTTTGGTTGAGTTTGGAAGAAGAGGGGGTGGTATTGTTTACAAAGCTTGTTGAAATATTGATAGAGGCGCTGTTGTTGTGGCTGCCTGTAGTGTTGTTGCTGTTGATGTTTTTGCTACTGTTGAAAGAGTTTGCAGTGCTACGAAGTCTTGTTTGAGCGGTGTTTTTGTGAGGAGTTTGTTGGTCATCAAGCTCCATGTTTTCAGTGTTGTTTTTTGGGTTTTTGGATGAACTAGGGGTTGCTTGTGCTTGTATTTGAGTGTTTCTGTTTAAAATGGTCTTGGGAGGCATGTTGTGCTTTAAAACTCAGTGCTTTGGGTCCGTTTTTTCGCAAAAGAAGAAAATTTCCAAAAAAGGAAATTTTCAAAAATCAGTGATGTACGGGAAAGAGTTTTTTTTTTTTTTTTTTTTAAGAAGAAAAAATAAATGTAATTCTTGAAATTATTTTTTAAATTATTTTAAAAAAGTGTTAAGACTTTATTAATAAAGAAATAAAAAATTTTTTTTTGCAAATATCTTTTTTGTGTATGATCAGAGAATCAGTAAAAAGAGATTTAAATTAATTATTTCTTTTAATATACTGTATTTATAGACTTTAACAATTAATATTGATTGGTAATCAATAAAAAATAGTGAGAATATTAATTAATCTTAAAATTTTGTGTAACGCGATGGTTATATTAATCAAACGCGGGAATTCTTGCCTTCTTGCCTCTCGTCCATTTGTTGTTTTACACCATGGATTGTAAAGATGGAACTGCTTTAGTTCCGGCAGTTGCAGAAACAGAAAGCGTTGGTGTCAACACCTGCACGAATAATTCAGAGATCAAAGAAACAAATAACAGTAATAGTAATGAACGCTATCAACAGAAAAGTCAATTATTCTGGGATTCCACTGACGATCAAATCTTTTCGCAGGATGGAAAAACAATAATGACTGTTGGTCATGCTTCTGTAAAATCAGTTGTTCCTCTCGAACTTTTACAACATATATACTTGCCCGTGCAACCACATGATAGACTTTTTGATCCTAAAACAAGGACCATATCTTATCTCCACAGTAGATCCTTTCTACCGGTTAAATCATTAGCACCGGGAGAGAAAAAAAGGATATTAGTGACAGGAGGGGCAGGATTTGTGGGTTCTCACTTGGTTGATAGATTAATGCTAATGGGTCATGAAGTAATTGTGCTTGATAATTTTTTCACGGGCCGTAAAAATAACGTTGCCCACTGGATAGGTCACCCCAACTTTGAGCTCATTCGCCACGATGTAGTCGATCCATTTTTAATCGAAGTTGACCAGATTTATCATCTGGCGTGTCCTGCATCACCGCCTCATTACCAATATAATCCCATTAAGACTGTTAAAACGAGTGTAATGGGAACAATTAACATGCTTGGCTTGGCCAAGCGCATCAAGGCTCGTTTTCTATTAACATCCACGTCAGGTATGTATCATTGTTTTTTAGCATTCGGTGAAACCAATTTAAAAAAAAAGAATCCAGTGAATTCCACCAGCTTCATTTATGCTTGGCTACATTGTGTAAATCGCGTACGCATTTAGCCGATCAGGTTGAAGGAAGGGCGAATTTGTTAGCATGGTTTTTTTTTTTCTAAGAATCTTTTGAATCATATTGTAATTTTTCAATATCATAATTTTTTGTCATTGAAACTGAATATTCGCCGCCGGCAGAAGTCTATGGCGATCCTGAAGAACACCCTCAAGCAGAAACATACTGGGGTCATGTAAATCCCATTGGTCCGAGAGCATGCTATGACGAGGGGAAACGAGTAGCAGAAACATTGACTTACGCTTACATGCATCAAGATGATGTGGACGTCAGGGTTGCTCGTATCTTTAACACTTTTGGTCCTCGAATGAATGAGAATGACGGTCGTGTAGTAAGCAATTTTATTATGCAGGCATTAAAGGGAGAGGAGCTCACCATCTATGGAGACGGCCATCAGACTCGTTCTTTCCAATACGTTCATGACTTGGTAGATGGATTAATCTTGCTAATGAATAAAGATTACACGGAGCCAATTAATCTAGGAAATCCTGACGAATATACTATACGCGAATTCGCTGAATTGATTCGTAGCGAAGTTAACAGTTCAAGTAAAATCAAGACCTTGCCAGCACCAACGGATGACCCCAGGAAGCGGCGACCTGATATTACGAAAGCCGAACAGATTCTTGGGTGGAAGCCACGATGGCCGGTCAAGCAAGGCATAGGTGAAACCGTCAATTATTTTAAACGGCAGATGGAGGCAGGGCTCATATGATCGATAATGAATGCAGACGAGAAGGGACTGTAATATTTTGATCGAATCGGAAATTTTTATGTATAGTAGGTATTATAGATTTTAAAAATTTTCGAGGATCTTTTTGGTATATCATTAGACGTAGGTAAGCACCATTCAATTTTTTGGGAGGTAATTAATGCTTGCGTTCTCAATCGGATTCAACAAAAAAAATTTTTTTTTCGCCGAATATCTAAGAAACGACGAAAAGAAAAAAAATTAATAAATAAAAAAAAAATTTTAATAATAAAATACAATAAAGAGAATAAAAAAAAAAAAGTAATTCCAACTCATATGATGCTTATTGGCGTGCAATCAGAATTTTATCAGAATCACCTGCATCAATGTCGATCTAAAAACGTTATGAAAAACACGTGTATTATATTTGTTTGCCAAACTCTTGACGAGATTGGGGAGATCATCAAAACATGTAAAATCAATCATACATCTAAAGTACCATCAAGCCTTGCTATGCTTAATTATTTTTTGTTTTATTAATTGTATTATTGATATCACATATACAAGGAGACCTAGCTAATGTTTTTTCTTTCTAGATGTATTATGCAATTCTTTCCATAAATGTACTCCTTAATTGCACCCTTTGCTCCAAAATTCAAACGCATAGTTCTATTGCATGACGTGTTTAAATAAGTGCTTTGCTTATCCAACCTTTTTTTGGTGATAATTCATCGCATATGTTTTGATATACAATTTGTCATGTAGCATATTAAATAAATTATTTTTCACTGGTAGATATAAACGGTCAAGTATTGGATAGTATCCTCTCTAAACTAATCCAAATATGGAAATCAGAACATTCGCGTCTTAATGGTTTAAGTATTCAACTCAGTAATACGACTCTTTCGGAAATTTACTATTGATACGACCAGAGATGATGGAACACGACGAAGAATTACCGGAGCAACTATTCGGAATCCTGAGCTCTCTAAGAAAGAATGAACGTGAAGGAGAACTCGTGGACGGACAAGAGCGGAAATACTGCTTAAGCGATGATTGCCTTGGTAGTCTTTTCAATTCCAAAAATTGAGGAATTTAATACTTAAAAACGAATAATTGACGCGTCTTTCAGACACATATGCTCATAATAACGACAAAACCACCTGTATTGAATAAAGGTTACCTTCGGTACATAAAAGAACAACTCCAATATGAAGATGATTTAAGTTTCGATATATATTGTCACCTTTGGAAGTGGAAATTTTTAGAGAAAGATCTGATTCCGATATTTATGGAAAATAAAAACCTTGGCGATGAGAAACAGAAAGACTTGGTTCTCGTGTGTGGTAAGATTTATTGATACACGTATAGACCGTGGTCTTTTTAATTATTTTAATCAAAATTATCTTTAAATCTATCTCAAAGTTGAGCTATTCGTTCTTATGACCTCGCCGCTTGGCCCGATACTTGATGTAAAAGACCACGAGTTAGAAGAAGATCGCGATGTGTCACAGTTTGATCGGAGAATGAGTGAGCGCTTAAAATCGCATACTGATTACAAAGCAGTATTCGAGAAGAGTCCTTTGATACTCCGGGCAATATTGGACCTATTGAGCACATATTTGTCTGACGAAAAATGGTAAGGCACAAGAAGACAATTTTACCTAATCAATAATTCACCGGGGAATGCTTGTTCTAGGGAGATGGGCAGAAGGTCTAGGAAAGACGAAGAGGTCATTCGATTATTATTAAGTTTTTATAATAATTTGGTCGCAATTGAGGATCTATCGGTTCTACATATGTCTGGAATTCAGATGCAGGTTTGCACAACAAAATCGTCTCCTCAAACGATTTAATATGCTAATTTTACATTTCGTCCTTAGCACCAATTAGTCATTTTGTATCATGAAGAAAGAATATTTGAAACACTTTTTAATCTCGTCTCTATAAAGAAAGAATTATCACAATGGAATTTGATAATAGCAGAAATCTTTTACCACGTATTTTATAATATCGATCCACGTGATTTGCTAAAAGATCATAAGGCGGTTAGTTGTGTAACCCGAATGATGCATTAATGGCGTTTCGCTAAATTTATTTAATTTGACCAGGAGGCCGAGAGTAGGGCACAGAAATTGTTAGAAGAGGAATTAAATAAAAGAGAATTAAATCGCATACGAAACACACGCCACAATGGGACATACTGGATAAACGTGCCAGTAAGTGTAATTGATTTTACGAGCAATGGATCATTCATTTTTGCCCATTCATTTGTGCATCTGATCATCAGGGAAAAGAGTACACTGTCCGCAAACGAGATGCTGTGCGAGGGTTAGTGACAAAGGTTGTTGATAGTATTAAAAAGGAAATGCCCACACGAAAACCTCTGGTGGTAAGTTGTGTGTGTTATTGAGGTCTAGAATTATTGCGAAAGATTAGCTGACAAGATTTAATGATTCAGGGAGAATACGACAAGAGAAAGAGATCGGTTAGAATTCGGGGTCCCGCACAAAGATATTTAAAACTGGTGGCAACTCAATTTTTGACGCGCGCATTTAATGGTATGACTTATTCCCTATACTGCATTCGTTTGCGCAAAATCTGGAAGAATTCGGCACTTCTGAAAGTTGTTTTGGCTTCATAAATAGATTTGATCTCTTCGCTCATGCATTGTTCAAGTATGAAAAGGCAGCAGCAGCACTTCGTTCATCTTTTTTACCTCGTGCAGTTTTTCCTTGAATTCCGGAATCTTTTACGAAATTCCGACGAACCACTTGAAGAGTTGACGTTTGATGAATTCACGAAGTCGCAATACGATTACGATTGTGTCTCCACTATAATGTCCCCACAAGGGTTTGACTTTGTATTCAATCTAATTGGTAACGACAGAGATGACAAGGTGCACATCTTTAGAATATTGTCACTCGATTTACCTTCGGAATGATATTAACTATTCTTTCTGATAGTTGTGGTCTAACATACATTTTGGACTCGAATGCCTAAAACAGATGGTGGGCGTAATTTAGATTTTATCCTCTACAAAGTATATAGACTAATATTTCCTTTTTCAACGTGCATTACGTGAGTATTAGTTGTTGACTGTGAAGGCAATGAAGAGATCGAATGACAGACAAATACGCTATAAAGCGGAATACATAATAAACAAGATTTATTATAATCAAGATAATCTGGGCTTAATGGTATCTCTCATTAAAGACTATAAAGGGCAATCATTTGGGTACTTAATTATCACTTATGTATATTGTTATTTTGTTAAGTGGTGCAATGTAATATTTCCGAAATTCATAAAACTATCATTTTACATCAAGTTATTTGCAAAGTTTAATTGCCACGATACACGTCCTTCTAGAAAGACTTGAAAGCTGTTCGAAAACTAAATACGAGATTGTTGTTAAGAGCTCACAGAAAGATAAAAGTAACCATCGTATAATTTGGTGTATGGTGTCCTTTCAACCTTGCCTCAATTCTTACTCACCGACTCCTATTTTAGATAGCCTTTTAACAGACGATGACGATGATCCAGAACATGAAGAAGACCATAATGAAATGGAAACCGAATTTTCCAAAGTTGATCGTGAATTCCATGAAAATCATAAATGCATTTTTGAATTATTTGAGAAGGTGGGATTTTATCACAATCCTTTTATCACACGTATTTCAATATAATAACATGCTATTTTATTTAACCTTGTTTCTCTTAATCGCAGAAATTCGTTAGCGATTCCGTTGTCTCTACTTTTTGTAAATACTTGGAAAATTATGAAAGTCTTGACTCGGAGGGTCTCGATCAGATTATAACGATGTTTCATCGAATAAGCGTTCGTTGTTCATCGGAAAAAGTTTTTTTTAAGGTATAAGAAAAAAATTTTCCCACTATTTTTTTTTTTTTTCGCTATTGAAATTCACCCGTAGACTTACACCAATTAGATATCGGTCTTGGAACTTCTGAACTGTATATTGTTGGATTATAAGGACAGAGATAAATATTTATCCGATTCACAGAAAGATTTAAAAGAGTTCGCTTTATTTATAACTGAAAAAATGCTCGAACATATTGAAAATAACCGATTTTCGTTCGTTGAGGTATACCTTAATTTTTGACAAACCTTCGTTATTATCTTTGACAATTTGTACTGATTGATACTATGAAACCGTCAAGATTTTTTTCAAGAGCATGCATTTTGTCGATCAAGAAGATAGTTCTAGTGACGATCAAGAAAGACCTATTAAGCCGAAGGTGCGTTAATATTATCATTAAATATCATATTGTATTTTCCTGTTGAAATCTCTAATTATTGTTACCTTCTAATGTGCAAAAAAGAAACGGTAGGTTGGGTTATTCTCTTGTTGTGAGTTGAAAATTTTTGACGCCTGAGTTCTTTGATTACAGTGCGAAGAGGTGTGTCGAACTCGAACTGATACCAGGTTTGGATTGGCATGATAGACTTGGAATTGTGATAGCCCTGATTTTTGAAGAGAGGAAATTAAATTTAATTAGATGGATTCAGCGGGTAAGTTCAATCATTCCGGTCCCTATTTTAGGCGGATGAGCATTAACAAAATTTTCAGTATATAGAAAAAGTGGCAGATGAGAGAAAGTCATCTGAATTTGACGTTAACCAAACGAATGTCTCTGAGGATGCAGAATTCTCGATAGGGCCGCCAAAATTAGTTTCGAATCATGGTGAGTAAAATAATTCTAAAATAATAATGTTTTAGTCTAACAGTTTTAATCTAATTTGCGCAAAAAAAAAGTTATTGAACCTGATAATGAAGAAATTGAGGATGCGATTGAATACGATTCCAATTTCCGATTATTGCTTGAAGTCATGGATCTTCGCAGGGAGGATGGTACGTCATTTCCATATAACCGATGAGAATTAACATTCTAACGATTTCCTCTTGATTTTCAGGTGAAAACCAAACAAGATGGCTCATTCCTGATTCGTTTTCAAGTGAAGATCTCCTTAATTTGAGCATTAAGATTGATGAATTTGTGGAAAACCCTTTTACACCTTCCGAGGGTACCGCCTTATCAGACTTGATTAGAAAAAAACGCAAACGCAGAACGCGAAAACCACGCAACAATGATGGCGCAGAGCCAAAATCAAAAAGAAAGAAAAAAGAAAATGAAAAGGTGTCCGATAAAATTGAGAATTCTGTTCTTGGTGTGAACAGTGAATCCTCATCTAAAGAGAACGAGTCTCTGATGCACTTGGATTCTGATATCGACATTAATGAAGGCTTCTCGTCTTCGGTCAACAGCTCAAGTTCGGACATTGATGACGATAAAATCATTTATAGAAGGCATCGTTCTACTGTTTACAAAGAAGATTCTGATGTTGAAGATGATGTTTTATGATGGTTCACCAGATTCAAAACTTTCCATATTTCTGCTGGATCTTTATGAAGTCTGACTAGAAATAAAATAATAAATACTCTCTAATTTGAATTTTTCACTTTTCCTCCAGTCAACTAATTTGTTCCAATAGAACACTGTAGTCGTACAAATTTCAGTGGTTTTGGTCAAAAAAGAAATTGTTGCAATCTTACTCTAGCTTCGAGATGATTTAAAATGTTATTGATGTTTTGATCGTTCTTTTATAAAATTTTCTAGATGTGTTATGATGACTGGCAAAGTTATAACCATTAAACTTATAGCACTAGTTATAATTCTTTAATGTGATTCATAATAGTCTCTTGTCTCTCTTTTAGACTCAAGTCTCAGGTTGTTGTCTCTATATATTTATTTTGAATTTTGTACAAAATTGGATTATAAATATTTTCTATATTAGCAAAGAAATAGTTATTTCTTGATCAATGTTGTATTTAGCTCTAATAAAATCTATTAGATTGCTTTTGTAAATTACTTTTTTTTTTTTGAGTACCCATAGTTAGGCTAAATCATGAGTTTATTAATCAATTGAAAATATAAGTGTATTTTCATTCAAGTATCATTATATATACTACAGTTAAACTATCATTATAATCTAACTAACTCATCTTAAGCATAAAAGTCTCTAGGTTTAGCCTTGGGAACAATATTTTGCTTTACAGTATTTTTGGATAAAAACCCTTCTAGTCCATAGCATTATTGCTAACAGGTTGTTACTGCTATATGTCAGTCCAAGTCACTAAAATATAGGAAATTACAAAAAGATAAGTTGTAAAAAAGAAAAAAAGAAATATTTAAAATATTTAAATAGACAACAAGAAAAAAAAAGAGTAAAAATTAAAAAAAAGATTTCTAACTTTTTTCAAAAACCTATTTCTCAAGATCTCTTTTCAATAAAAAATACTTGATTGAAATATTTTTTCTTTTTTTAACCATTTAAAAAACTTATCCATTATTAATTTTAATTTTTTTCTTATATACTATCTGAAAAGATTTATCACCTAGTAAAAGCCTTTACTTCCAGAATACATTTGGTTTTAACCTTCTTTGGATAATGATTTTTTATCTATTTGCAGTAGAAAATCGACTTATGATAAATCTCAGGTTTTTATGTAACCTAATAAAAACTGAATTATATTACTTTAATATAATATCTTTTAATATCTATATTTAATTAAAGGAATTTTACTGGTGTACATCTTCTATTATTCAAAAGATCAGATTCCTTAACAATTATTTTACCTTATAATAGTAGGAGGGTTTTGAATAGTAATAGGAATTCTTATTAATTATAATATTCTTCAATAACTTTTGGGAAAATACATTTTCAACTATAACTAAAAAGTTGAAGCTTAGTATAGACTAGAGACTATTTGATTTTATTGCTTGACTGGAATAAAAAGAAGATCTTGATCTTGAATTTTGTCTAATCAAAATAATAAAAGAAAAAGACTTTAGTTTAAATAAATAGCAATTTTTTTCACCATCTGAGAACTTGTTGTTTATGTCTTATTGACCTTTTAAAACTTGATTTATAGGTTAATCCAATTGAAGGAGTAAGTAGAATCAGGATATCAATCAACTTTTTTAATTATTAATGATATCATAGATATAATCAATAAAAACTTATTTATATTCTATACTAATATATTTTATGTCAACCAATTAGATGTCAGTTAACATTATACTATCAGAAATTCAGGATCAAATTGAAGTAAACAAAATTTCTCAAGAAAATTGGAAAAAACAATAAATACTTTAAGAGAGTATAAGATAGTATGTAAGAAAGTAAATAATAAACCTTTCTTTATTAATAAAATCTCTATTTCTTGTTGCTTCCAGCTCTATAAGGTGACACTTCACTTGTCAATCCTTTTACTTTCTAGAACCTTTTTACCTTTAGTAGAGGAAATATGTACTTAAGTTTATTCAAGCTACTAGAGATCCAAGTTTTTATTTAAAGAAGTTTATAAACAAGTAAGGATGAATAGTAAAGATAAGTAAAGACAAGTTTCAAGTTGTTTTAATAAAAGTATAAAGACTTTATTAACAAGAAAATATAAAACTTTTTGCAAATATTTTTTTTGTATATGGTCAGAGGATCTGTGAAAAGAGTTATAGTATATTATTATTTGCTTTTGAAATTTATTTTGAATTTATTAAATTGTCAAGAAATCTTTTTCAATTGATCTTATTTGACACTTAAAATATTTATTATTTTTTTTTTTTTAGTTCATAATTATGTTGAAATAGCTTGTCTTTATTATGATACTTGAAAAAATATCAAAATAATCTGTAGATCTTCTTATATAATAACCAACTCATCTTTATATATTATTAATTAAAAAACTATATTATCTAAAAAATATGAGATGTCCACTAAGCTAGTTTGGATGAAATAAAACCAAGTCTCAACTAGATACTCTAAGTCAGATTTAGAAGACAATATTATATTTTCCTAGTAGCTTGACACAATGCTTCTAAATTAACTAGGATTATTGCCAATTGTTTGTTACTATTGATTATTTTGAAAAATAATGAATTGCTAAAGTTGGCATTGGGAAAAGGATAGACAAAAAACAATTTAAAGTTTTAAAAAAGATTCTTGTTCTATTTCATAGTCTCTTCTCAAAAAGGATCTTGCCTGATTTGAATATTCTTATTTACTTTATTTGAATTTTGAAAGAAGTCTTTTTTATTGTTATCTATGGCATTGGATGAATTTTTATTTAAGTATATACTAGATTGAAATAGTTTAAGAGAAACTAAAAGATCTCAACTTTCATCTTATGAAGCCTTTTTACTATCTAAGGAACTTAGAAAAGAGATAAAATTTCTTTATACATATTTATATCACCTTTCAGTAATATAGCTATTTTCTAGGGATCAAACATATACAATTGGAGAGAAACTTCTTTTAGAACTTTTTTCTTATATCACTTATAATATAATAAAGACACATTAGTATGACCAATAGGAACTTGTTTACTTTTTTTAAAACTAACATATTTCATATTAATCAATTACCTTTGATAAGAATTTGTATTATTCAAAATTCAGAATCAAATTGAGATAGGCAAAATTTTACAGAAAACATAAAAATGACAGCTCTAAGAAACTAACAAATTACTAAAAGAAAAAAGAATAAGTCTTTCTTCCATCAAAATATCATATATCTCTTACTTCAAAGATAAAGAAGACTTTCGGATACTTCACTATTGATTTTTTTTTTTTTTGAAAACTTTTTTGTTGTTGGTATTAAAGATATTACTTGACTTGTTCTTGATTATCAAAAGTTAAGTTTTTGATCAAAGAGGATTGTAAACAAGTAAAAGAGGATAGAAGTGGCTTTTAGAGTTACTCTTCAAGAAATTTTAAGAAAAGTGTTAAGACTTTTTTAACAAAAAAGTATAAGAACTTCTTGTAAACATCTTTTTTGTATATGGTTAAAGAATTAGTGAAAAGAATTTTTTTACTTGATACTTAAAATATACTGTAAATAATATTTTGATAATAACTTAATAAAATTAAATTCAACAATTGATTGATAAAAAATTTGATAAAAAATTTATATATTAATATACAGTACATACAGTATTAAACTTGATAAAAAATTACAAATTCAATATAAATATTAATACTATAATAAAAAAATATAATTAAAGATAAGTCCTTAAATAGAGAAACAAAAATAAAAATCAAATGTTTTTTATTAGAAAACATTAAAATTTTTAAATTAATAAATATAAAAAATTATTCAAAATAATTTTTATTTTTAAAATCTTTGATTTATAATATTTTCTAAATTTTATTTCTACTAAGTAAAAAGTTATAAATTTTATTTCTCAAAAAGAGGCATAAGTGAGTTATGAAATTTTATATACTGAATACTTTAGGGGTCTATTCTTAAATATAGTATCAATTATAATTAGTTATTCTTTTTAAATTATCAAAACTTAAATATAAAAAAAATTTTTTTTATTTTATTTTAAAGTTAAAGATAAGTATTAATAATTAATGCATAATATAATCATCATTTGATTTTTAATAAAGTTAAAATTCAATTATTCATATATTTAATTAATTTTTCAACTAATATGTTAGAAGATTTATTATATTTAAAGATGGGTCCCTAAAGTCTAATATTATATCCTATAACTGAAAGTTTTATAACAGAAAAGCATTTATGTCCCCTCCAGACTTTAGGTTAGAGAACATAATTATATAACTGAAAAGTATTTATGTTCCCTCCAGACTTTAGGTTAGAGGACATAATTATATAATCAAAAAGGATTTATATCCCTCTAAACTTTAAGTTATAGGATATAATTATATAACTGAAAGTCAAATTTTTATAATCAATAGTTAATTTATTACTGATCAGCAATTTTTTATAACCGAAAATCAATTTTTTATAACTGAAAATTAATTTTATAACTGAAAGTCAATTTTATAATCAAAAGTCAATTTGATATATGAAAGTAAGGACATAAGTAATTTGATAACCAAAAGTAAGGACATAAGTAATTTGATAACCGAAAGTAAGAACATAATGTACAAATTTTGATCAAAAGATCTACTTCAAAAAATTTCTGATTAATTATTATATATTTATTTATAATAATATAAGATTTTATACGTTTTTGTCCTCTTTTTTTAAAAAAAAAAATTTTTTTAAAGATATTTTCTTCTTTAGGCAAATTTGGTAAACCAAATAGTTCAGTTTGAAACTATATTAAAAAAGGTAAATGAAAAAGTAATGGATATTATTAAGCTACTTGTAATTATTGTAAAAAATTTTAGGAGAATGGAAAATCACAAAAATTTTGTCAATATTTAATAAATAGATGTCCTTCTTGTCCAGAACCCATTATGACATATTTTTCTAAAATAATTGCTAAAGAAGAAGTCAACTTCTCCTCTTCAAATGAAAACATAGATAATAATAAAAGAAAAAGATAACAAAA